ATCTGAAAATTGCAGTCTATTTCTAAATGAAACACATTTATAATTAAACACTCTTATTTTTATACATTCAGTAACATTGTTTTCTTTTAATTATATTGATTTTTTCTACATCCTGACGAACAGTTCTTTTACTTTTAATTACATTTTCTATAATCTTAACATACAGGTTTTTTTTTTTGAGGTTCCACCATTTTCTGATAGCTGCTTCTTCTTTTGACAAGTCTTAGTCGTCCCTTCAAGCATGAAAATATTTCCTCAATGATTTTTGTTTCAGTTCACGAAAGTGAATTATGTTCTAAAAGCTTATTGTCTTTCTAAATTGACAATTTCGGAAACAAAGACTTTGCAGACAATCTGCTTCTATATTTCATTAAATTAATTATTGAAATTTCTAATGAAAAGGAATTTTCTTTATTGCCTAGAACTACCATTATACAGGAAGTTCGGAAAAAAAACAATAAAAATCAATTTACTTTTAATTTTCTTCTGATGATATGAGATTCTATACATAGATCTATAATCCATGACAAATATAAAGTTTTAACCAAAAAAAGGGGGGAAAATTTACCTTTTCCTATGATAAATGTCTTGGCGTCACTAAAACCATGATAAAAGAGTACTTGTGTTATAATCAGGAAATAGATCAGATAAATAATGGATTTTAATAACGAGGGTGGAACCAAAGTAACATTTAATCCGTGATTTTGGTGTTAAAAATGAGGAAATCTCCTGGTTGGCTCTATCTTATTCTTTAATGTCTAGACAAATTCATTAGATTCTGACATATAGGTTTCAATGTAAAAATAGATAGCAGCCAGAGTCGAACTGTATGATTTATAAGGTGGGTTAATTCAGAGGTTCTATTTCAACAGACCTGTACAGTATATGAAATCCATGTACTAATTTTAAAAAGGCTACAATGTGAAATTCTTTTATTTTGGTATAAAAAAAAAGTCTTTCAGTAATCTATTTTGGGAAGACCAGCTTCTAGGACAAAAGCAATCTATAAAACTTCATTATTGCCATTTTCATTTTCTTTCTGCTCTTCATGTTTATGTATTTCTATTTTCTTTCTAGGTTATTTCGAAATCAGTTAAATCTGCTTTATTAATTACACAAAAAGATTTTACTAATGAAAAAAATATGTTCAGGAAATGAAACATAGATTGAAGCATCTACATAGGAAATTTACAAGTTTATAACTGCTGTAAGAGTAGGTATTTGACCCTAAATGTATCTTCCCTAGAACACACTGTTAATATAATCAATGCGAATCTTTATTAAAGTTCACAAGGGAATATGGATTGCCCTTTTCAAAACAAGACTGACATTTTACAGACAGGATAAATTTATAAACTAACTAAATATGGGTAATTAGCATAGCCTGTACTCTGTAGCAGAAAAAGTACATAGGTCTAGTAACCACAGAACCTTGTTAACAAAGACCTCAGTAAAAATACCACATATGAATTATTACAAAGATTTTAGACATCGGGAAGAGCTTGAATTTATTCTTCGCATCGCTCCTATTCCAACTTTTCTTTTCTAAACAGAAGATATTAAATATGCTAGATGTATAAATGAGTTGAATACATGTATGGCATCAAATACAATGGGATGTCATTATTTCTCCACATTGCAAAAATCTAAATGAAATGGGGTTTGACACCCTACTTTTCTTCATAACCAGATTAATAAAGACAGGCAAAATGGGTAGTCTTCACAGGTGAAAACAAAGGATATATTTTAAAAATTTGGTTGTTATTTTTTATCAAAATCAACCGAAATTGAATAAGGTTGTTGAAATAATATCTTTTCGTACAAATGATCTATATTTAGTAACACCTGATCTATATTAAGTAACACGTTATTGTCTATTAATGTTTATTTCTGATATTACACAGTTTCTGTTACCAAATGGAAATTACTTAACATTTTGGAAAATAAAAATCAGTGATTAAACGCCCACAGTCATGTTTCAGTGGAGCTGATATAGGTCTCCATTACAACTACAATGTGTAAGCTGTCAAAATCAATATGCATTACATGTATGCATACTTTAAAACTGATGAATTGATTAATATTATAATACTGCATCAGTTATATATTACAGTCGTATACCATAGTTGATAAACCACAGAAAATAGACCATCAGTAAATACTGTGTTAATGAAAAGTGGATGCAGTACATGTATACATAGCCAATAAACTCGAGGAAATATCGCACATGCTGTGAATATCACTGAAGAATTCTCAGAAAGCATAAATTTTAATTCTATACCACAGCATCAAATATGACGCAGTGACAACAAATATAACACCATGGTGAATATACCACAGAAAATATACAAACACCATTGTGAATATACCACAGAAAATACTACCAAATCTGAACTAAGAACAACCAACGAGGATATTGCCTAGTCAAACTACAGACATACATGCAGTCCAGTGGATGAATTCAACAAATATTTCATAAAGTTAACATGGGTTCAGTTGTAATTGTATCTTGGTTTCCCTACCTTCAATTACTATTCTCAAACTTTGTATTATCTATTACTTGCAAAAATGCACACATACACCATATATAGTGATTCATTCAATACGCTTATAATCTGATATTATATATCATTAAGTAACCTCTTCAGTAAAGTTAAACTGTTGAAAAACAAGAACACTTGAGTTTTAAGTGTGTAGGTTTGTATTTTGATAACAACAATACATGTACCAAGTTGGTTATACTTTTTCATTATTTACATTGCATTGTCGCACAATTACACGTTATCTTTAAATTAAAGAGCTCCTACAGAACATTACATGTACTCACAGAGATAGAGTTAAGAGCTTGTTGTTTTGCTAATAAACAATTAATGATTGCATGCGTGCATGTAAAAGTAATATTTATAGTCTCCTCATCATCATATAACAACTATAAATTATCAATTTGTGAGTTCTTAATTGAGAAAATATCTTTTAAAAAATATATTTTTTACATGTAAAGTATATTATGTACATAAGAATTTCAAAAATATGTAACCGTGTTGCTTTATAGATTTGTTATTCAAATCGTGTTCCATGATTCAGATGTTTTAGATAATTTGACATAAAACTACAGGTAAATGTAATCTAATTTGAGCCAGTCATACATGTAATTTACACCTGATAATACAACTGTGTCATTTGTTGTATAGTAATGTTAATTGATATTTTATCAATACTACTAAACAATACTCATTTACTCCATTATCCATCATTGTTGTATACTCAGCTCTTCTCTTTTAATAATAATTGTATTTCAGAGTTTTTGGCTAGGATCTCTACCAAGTAAGGCGTATTAGAATAGACAGCCACGATGAGTTAGTGGTCCGCACTCAAACAATACAACCATGTGAGAGAGCTAAAACAGTGTGTTGAACTAGAATTGAAACATTTTATTGTTGACATAAGAGATGTTGACAGTCAGTGAAGCATGTCAACAATACAACTAACAACAATTTCTCTATGTTTCTCTTTCTGAACAGATATTCAACATGGTGGACACACCAACTGTCTACTTCTTTTGAATAAAAGAAAGGAGTCAGGTTCAATTGAAAGACAGCACCAACAGGGCCATAGTGATTCATCATCAACATGTATTTTATTAAATAAATTTACGTAAAATACTGCATTGAATCAAGCACAAACCAAATTCACGAAAGACATGCAGGTTATACCTAATAAGCTCGAACAGATCTGACCACTCTATTACAATTATTCAGATATACATACATGTAATAAACTCAATGTAAACCATATCTAACAAGATAATCTCAAATACTGATTGTCCCCAGTGATTAGCATAATGAATAGAGGTTTTCGCCTTTACATGATCTCTTTCAGTCTATTTTTACCCAAATTTCACGAGGTCATAAAAGGATGGCATATCTGTCGGAAATTTACATAACAGTATCACGAATGAATTCACCTGAATAAACATTTTATAACTTGTTTATTCTCAATAAGAAATGGATATATCTCGAGTATGAATACACATTTAGAGAGAGAAATAGAACTTCTATAACTATTGTTGTCTAAAAAGAATGATATGACTTATTATCATGTCATATTAATATAATACAATTGATTTTATATGTATTAGATATAGAAAAAACTTGCATTGAATACCGAATAAGCTAACGTGTTTACCAACCCCTGTATCTATTATATCATAATTGCTGGCCTTTGTATATTTAATATAATTATTTGTATTCGACATGTTTGAGGACTTAAAACTAGTTGCTCGGTGATCACACAATACGATATCACCTGATTAATGCACAACTGAGATAGAGTCTAATACCTTTTACAAATAACAGCGCATAGAATTCAAGATTACTCACACATGTACATTCATTTTTAGTATAGTACATTCAATTTACTAAATGATCTAATTGAATTAGTGATTTCATCATACGGAACCTACATATAGGAGCTTGAAGATATTTCTTTTTAGACAAGAAAGCAATACTATCTTAGATTCACAGAGCAGGCAAATCGAAACAAAGTAAACATCAATCCTTAAAAATATGTCTTTACAAACAACTTATGTTATATGTATTTCTGGGGATATACTGGGGCTTTTTCATAGATAATAAATTTTATGATGTAACTTATACACATTTCACATATTTTTAATTGCACTCTTAGAATTCTTTAGACTCTATCTAATCTACATCTTTCCAGATAAGTGTTAAATTTATGGATGATTTATTTGTAACACCTGTGATATTGGTATGGCTTATCACACTATAAACCATACTAATTTGTAATTATCTTCTGGTTTATTATCATTCATATTGATTATCAATTAATTATTATGTTCAAACTTACATGTCTGTGTCTTAACTGATGGATACTAAAATGCATTTTAAGGATGTTTCATTAGCCATCCCTTGGAAGCTACATGATGAATATTTGTATTTTTTAGGAGTGTTTCGGTCTTTAAAAAGGTCATTATTTACCTTGATCGTTTGGTGGACGGATCTTTCATAACCATAGTTTCTTTAACCTCCCCGAATGAATCGAAAAATTCCCTCAGCCGTTCTGAAACATTAAAGATCACAAATTGAAAGGTCTGGAATGAGATTTGTTGGGATGGGGAGGGAATGGGAAATACTGACAACACACAAAGACTACAACACTGACTTTAAGCCAATACGCACACCCTTCATAATATTGGTATCGAACGATAAATATCGGTGATAACCGGTACTTTACAATAAGTACAGAGTGAAGGCTTCCACCACAGGCATCATCAACATAATTAAATCGGAGATAGGGTATTTGGCTTCATATACCCCAGTATTCCCACAGTATAACACAGGGCAATAAAATCTCGCCATTTTGAAACAAGACTCATAAGTTTATTCTTGCAGGCCGTGGGAAATGTATTTTCTCCATCACTAACTTTAAAGAAGGTCGTCTCGCGCTTAGTCATATATCAGTAGAGCCTTATAGTAGTAGAATAACTGCACGCGGCTACAAACGTCACTGACAGGGACTTATTATGAATGAAGACTTAGAGCGTTGAATTTACGCTTCAAACACGAGATAATCCATTGATGAAAATATAATCCACTTCCTTACCTGCTGTCGTCTGCCATGAGAGACCTCCGACAAACATTTTCCTGAAAAACACAAAGAAATTGGCGCGGTTAAGTCAAAGCCATTTTGAAGTATAAAGCGATGACCTATATGAAGCGGGCCATGACACATAGAAACCGAATGAAATTCGCGATCGTCTTTTCAATAAAAAGGACATTATATAAAGGTTGATTACTTACCCGGGATCATTTGGCATATCATCGGAATTACTACTTGGAGAAGATTGCGGCTGTTGATCCATTTTCATGTTTTCTAAACCAACTACTCCTAACTATCTACACAGAAGAGTGAAGCATGCACGTGCCTTGCTAGTTACTGACTTTGCTACCTTATCGTCTATTGGCCCATCGTGGGTGGGCATTTCGCGCGTCTTCCAGAGGCGAGAAGAATGCATGATTGACATATCAATATGGATCACTGATTGGCTAAATAAACGTATCCTGGCAACGGAGATAGGTTTTACTGACGTCATACACCATTTTGACACAAAACTCCGCCTTTGACGGGTGCGAGCACAATAAAAACAAACACGCCCAACTAGAATCCTTTGATAATCGCCGCCAATCATTCTTATTATTAGATGTCGAGTTGACGTTCAATACGTCACTATATCGGTATTTAGCAGATTACGAAGGGAGTTTTTTTTGTGTGAATCGTTTAGTTTTGATCTACATGAAAATGAGAAAATGGCGAGAAATGTTTTTTTTATATAATTTAACTGATTTTAAAAGTTGTTTCTAAATAAACTTTAAATAATGATCTAACGGTATTTATGGGTTGTGACCTACTTTAAAAGGCCGTACTAGTTAAGAGACATAATCCTTGAGTGGCATTTAGCGATCGAGCACATTAATCCGTTCGTTTGTGGGATTTTACGTTCGCTTCCACCTAGGGTGATATCGCAGATAAAATTAGAGCACATTAGAAGAAAACAAAACAACATTAACTTATATGGAAAACAATCACATGCGGTTTATACACATATAGCATGATATTTCGACAAGCATTCTCTTTGTGCTTGAAAACGATACGGAATACTCGTCGAAACGTCGTGCTATATTATGTGTATTTTATGTGTATAATAAGAGACATTCTGCGAAAATCGAAGTTATTTTTTTCTTGTCATCGATCGACTTCCATGCATTATTCGAACTGTTCAACTACACCTTTTCATGTCGACATATTCCACAATCGGAATATATCTAATTAACGTTACCTCATATTTGATTGGAGGTCATAGTTGTTTATTATGCATGTTGCACATTCAAATCATGTGTATTTCAGTTTTAAAATATATACTGTTATATGAACTGAGAAGTTATCATCAAGTCATATCTTCAGGAATCATATTATCTAATTCTCCAGGGGTCCTATAAAAGGCATTTTAATACATATTTTTATGTATATATCTGAGACAACTGTTCACTATACATACTGTATCTTTCAATATACGTATTAAGAAGCAGCAACACAAAGAGAGAGGGAGAAATGGGGTTTAACGTCCACTCGACACAAACTAGGTCATTTCGGGACTAACATATGGTTTTTATTTTATTTCAATAATTCGCTTGCGCATAGGGGTCTTTAGCAGTGGGAGGAAACCGGAGGACCCGGAGAAAACCCACGAGGTTGGACAGGCGACCCTACTCCTTGTCACGTACAACCGGGGATTCGAAACCACGCCAGTCGACTCAATGACAGACTTTATGATACAGCGCGCGCACGCTAACCATTCAGTCATCCACACCCAGCACCACAAAGTTTATGTAACACAAATATAGAGATTTGGCGAAACTCATAAACAAAGTGGACACATGACAAAATGAAGAAACATTATATTTTCTTTCACATCTGGTTTGGAATAGGAATCATAATTTGGAAAGAATGCCATCATATTTTTAAGTGACGCGAAATCACGATTGAACAAACAGACGTACATGCAATTAGTATTGTACAAGATAGTGAGATGAGGTTGTTCTTATTATTTTGCCTCAGATTAATGTTACAAGTTTGGATGATGGAAGGGTAAAGTAATACCATTTCATTATTTTAAAGAATTCGACTGTTGTTTTTTTTCTTATTGTGATATAAATATATACAGATAAATACAGACATAATACTGCAATGTGTTGATTTTATCATGATTGTTCATAACAAGTGATTTAACCTGTTAAAAAGTTTAGTAGAAAAGAAAATGGTGCATAATTTTTCAAAGCGATTGCAGTGTATGACAGCCATACTTTTCTAGCGGTTAAATCACACCCTATACACTAACCCTAACCCCGGTTTTCTGTTATGCATTTCGTTTCATTTCGTTTATATATTTTTTTAAGGAAACGCCTGAAGCAGTGAAACACCACAGGATCATCTGCGCGGGGTATCGCTTTACTCATCCGCAAAACACACACACTGGTAATCGATGTTCAGCTGCACAATAGACTCAACTGCAGAGATGCACCCGGATGGCGGCCTGTAAACGCTACGAATGGTAATCAAAGTTCATCTGCAACATTATATACCAAAAAAAGACTCATCCCGAAGAGTATAGCACTGGACCATCTGCATCGATGTGCATGTGTATTGTGAAATGCATCGAAAGTAATATATGGCTTCAATATCCAAAGTTTCTACTACTGGCATGTATTTATTCAGAGGTCAGTTGGATCTTCTCTAAACAGGCAATGGAATTCCAAGTTGCTAAAATCAAACCTTTTCATTAATATAGAAAGGAATATAGATGATACACGTTCAATCTGCAACAAATATCGCCTCAGCGCACTGTCTCTTCAGTTGGCTGTAGCGTGAGTATTTGTCGTTACAACCAACTCAATTCTACAGGTAGCATCCATAAACCTTTTTTATATTTCCCAATACCATACACATTCCAATCCATATTCTCATTATTCTAGGGACGAAGGCGAAGACGTAATTAGGTGATAATCTATAAACTATAATTAACCACAGAGAGATAAAAATCCTCCATTAATAAGCATGTACAAGCAATCCTCTTTATTTTCTTAATTAAGAATAATTTAATAATTATTATGCCTGCATCCTCATTAATTCTCCTGCCATGTATTTTCTGTATAGGTATTGTGACGTCTATCTAACTAACAAATTTGTCGATATTTATATAAAAGAAACGATTTGTTTAAAATATATTACTTTAATGTTTTTCTACCATTCAGTAGATCCCACGCTGTGTTTGTACGGGAACGGAATAGACATCACCAAGTTCTGCAGAATCATACCACTTTAGAACTGGAAAATTCCCCACTCTGCTGTACACGACATGTGACACATTTTATAAGTAAAACTTAAACTAAAATAAGAATGTAACCTTTTCATTGTCTAAGAGTTAAATTTTACGCTATGAGTTTAACACACAACCAATGAACTATAAGTATTCTTAAAATATTTTAGTTGTTATACACGCCAAGGTCCTGATGAAAGTAGGCCTATTATTAATATCAGTTTTCATTAAATACTTGCCTTGGGAAATGTGAAGGGAATATTAAAGATACATTATGGGCGATTCGATAACGAGTTGGCAGTTCTCAATATAATAATGTAAAGGCAATTTGCTGAAAATTTCATTCAAATTGATCCACTATGAACCAAAAATTAAGCGATTGAAATTTCCGCCTAGCCCCGATCATCATTACTAAAGTCAGTACGATAAACAGCATAGTCTCGATTATCCATTTGATCGTTAAATCGTGAAGGAAAGTTATGCAGTAAGTCGGCTCATAATCCACTAAAGATCGCAGGCTAGCGATGCCATCTAGAGTTGATTATGGTCTGGATAGGTTAATTAATGTCTAATTAATAATTCAGATAACATTTCAGGTCTAAAGAAAGACCTGCAATAGACAGATTTAGCTCTTGCATAATGTATGTTTAAGTGAAATGGTATACGTGTGTCATGATTAGGCTAAACAACGATATCCAAATTTTCAAACCACAAGAATAAGCCAGATCGTTCACATCATAAATACCGTCCAGACTCTTAATTTTAAACCAGTTCAAAATCGCCGGGGTTTTAAGACAGGGTCGTGTTGCGTTTACGCGTCTTATAATCCAAACCAATTTAACTATTCTGACCATGGGTAGCTTCATATTTTCTTTATTCGGCTCTCGCACGCTTTAGATAACACTGGCACTGCCTGACCCCGAAATGCGACTTACTGCGTACCGTGCATGCTCAAAGCGAGCTGGAGCCGAGGTTTTTAAGCAAACCCGTTCAGACGGCAAAGATGAACCAGTTTAAAATAAAAAGTCTTCTCGAAGACAGGTCGCGAGCCGGGGTTTTTAAACTGGTGTATTTTCCCCACATTTGCGTTCAAACGACAAAGTTGAACTGGTTTAACGACCCCCGGGGTTTTTAAACCAGTTCAACTTAGGCGTCTGAATGGGACTGTTGTTATTGTGTACCTGAAAGCACACCCGAAGATGGCGAATGTGGTGGATTGTAAAAAAAGATAGCATAATTATTATTAAACTGTTTGTCTTAATAGTAAGTGAAGGAGAACCGCACTGCACGCAAAACCGATAAGACAAACCTGAGGACAAGACATTGCAAAAAATAAAGCAAAATAAAGCAATGTACTAAACAACAGTAATTTAAAGTGCAGTTAGTTCATTTATGTATTTTTTTTTATAACGGAAGCTTGCTAATACAAGAACGTTTGATTTAACTCATCTTAAATGTGTATTTTACTCTAACTCTGGCATATTGGGGCTTTAAAGAAAACGACTACCAAAAGACCCCCTCAAAATAATACCATGCTGTTTATTGTCATTCTGAATATTCTTCTCAATAGACGTGTTTATTTTTAGATTTTGAACTTATAATTGTTGTTTAGGGTATGTTAGGCGTTTGATCTAGCAGACATTTTAATTTTAAAAAAAGCATGTACACAGGTGTACTTGTAAACATTATTCATTACATTTGAATATTTACTAGACAACGGAATTTCATTCATAAACTCTTCTCCCTTTTTTGTTTATTTGCAATGGCTTATCTTAGTTTGTTTTTTAAAAAATAAAAACCAGAAAAATTATTCACACGCAGAAAAACAATCCCTCTTAAATGATATCGATTCAAGATGTTCTTAGTTTTCAACATGGCGATACTTGTGTGCGAGTTTATTTCCCAGTGATTCTATCCATCTTACAAATATCTCATCTTTTCTTTCAAGTGTTATCTCCTACACTAGAGGCAAACATCAAAGACATGTTCATATTTGCATAACGTTATGCGTTCTTATATCTGTGTTTACTGAGAAAAATGGCTAAATATTTAGAAGAGTTCTTTGTCTCCCGGCAG